CAGCAAGCATCCAGCAAGCATCCAGCAAGCCACCTCCCCCTCTCGCCTTGGCGACGCTTGCCATCGGCTCACCCGGCACTGCATAGCCGTGCTGATCGATTGCTGATCGATGGCGGCTCTTGCTGCTATCGCACGCCACTGCAAACCTAGCTTTGCGCTGCACTGGCAAGGCGAATCGGGATTTGCCTCGATCGCCGATGTGCTTTTGGCGTCACACCCGATCCAGCACCGGCTCGGCAGCTCTGCAACGTGCGCTCTTGGAAATTTCGCACTCCAACGCCGCTACAGGAAAAATTGCAGCCGCTGCCCGAAAAAAAGGGTCCTCTCCTCATCCTTCTCCTCATCCTCATCATCTCATCTACTTTTCACGCTCACGCCACTCATAGGAACCAGCACTACCGTCACGGGACGCAGCGAATACACAACCGCCACACTCTCAGCTTCACCGTTGATCGCACGCTACGATGGCCAAGTCGCTGCGTTCGAGCTCCAAGCTCAAGGCACGCAACCAGAAGCGCACCAACCCCAAGAGCGACTATGCCGTGGCAGAAGCTGCACGTCTAGCTGCACTCTCGGCCCGTCTCACAGCAAACGTCAAGCCGTCAGACGACCAAACCACGGCCGAAGATGAAATCGCAATGAAGGACGATGCTGATGCCGAGCAAAAGCCAAAGATCTCCACCTCGGGCCCACGCAACTCCCGCCGCGAAGAATACCGCACCTCCAAGGGCCTCAAGCCCTTCAAGAACAAGGGCGGAAACAGCCTCTTCGACGCACACAAGTCCAAGAACGGCGGTAAGCCAAAGCGAAGACGCTAAACCCATCTCACAACCCCCAACTTCCGATTCTTGCCCCTGTACTATAGATCTCCTCACCACAACCCCTTGCAATCATCTCGGTCGGTCTCGCACTTTGATTCGTAAACGCATGCCATTGAAATCTAGCTCTTGCAAATCACGATACCGTCGCACGCCTCGCCATCCACATCCGGCAGCTCGGCCAGCTCCGCCGGACGCACAAACTTGCCAATCGTAATCAGCAGCAGTCCCGACGCCTTGACACTCTCCACCACGTGCGGCACATGGTTGAGCAGCGCCACATCCACCATCACGCCCAGCAGATTGTTGCTCTTGGCAAACCGCACCGCCTCGCCCATGCTCTCGCGCCGCGCATCCGTCTCGTGCCGCGTCGAGGCGCGCAGCACCCCCCGCCCGCTCGCCTCGCCATCGATGCCGCAGTAGGATGCAAAGAAGACGGCATAGTTGGGCTGCTTCCAGTTGAGCGCCGTGCACACCGTGGGCGAGCGCGACGAAAACAGAATCTTGCGACTCTGCTCGCGATTGCTCGTGCCCGCCGCATACACGGTGTGCAGGATCGTGTCCACCAGCTGATTCACCTCCATCTTGGGCATGCCCGCGTTGGCGCGCACCTCGGCCGTCGACGGATACATGACGTCCAGATCAATCCCCACGCTCACCGGCAGCAGCGCCAGCAGCGTCTCGAGCGTGCACACCGACGTCTGCAGTGCCGTCTGCCACTCGCTCCACGAGGCCTGCGCAGCCTGTGCCGCCGTCCACTCCAGCAGGTGGTGCGTCTGCTTGGCCACGCCCAGCAGCTCGTCCGCACGCACGCTCCCCACGTACACCTCGACGCCCGAGAGCGGGATGAACGCATGCGGCCACACCACCGCCACCGCGTCCTTCGTCACCTGCACCACCACCCGCACGTACTCGCCCGCCAGCGACGAGCCCGTCACCAGCGTCGATTGTGCCGCTGCCCCCGCCGTCGACGCTGCCCCACCCGCCGAGCTAGCCGCCAGCGGCGTGCCGCTCGCGCTCGCCGCGCCCGACACGCCCTTGTCCGCGCCCCTCGGCGTCGACGCAGCCCCCGCGGCCGACACGCCGCCAAGCGCGCCGCTGATGCTGCCCACGCCGCTGTTGGGCGTCATCCTCGTCGGTCCCACCGTCGAGGGCGCCGAGACGCCAGGCAGCATGCTCTTCCAGTACGTCTCTACGCGCCCGCCGATCTCGAGCTGCACGCTGTCGAACGGCTTGACAAAGTCGAGCTCGAACGACACCTCGCCCACCACCTTGAGATACACGTCCTGCAGCGGCAGCACAAAGCGCTTGCGATCCGTCATGCCCTCGAACGAGCTCGGCAGCGCCACGGCCTTGCCGATCACCTTGGACCCGAACGTCGGCATGAGCTCCCACTCGATCGAGAAGCTCTCCAGCCGGCTCACCTGGAACGAAAACACCTCGCGCTCGTCCGCCAGCGGCAGCACCACGTTGTGCGGGATCGCCGTGGTCAGCGAGGCGTCCGGCCGCGAGGTCATGACGAGCTTGAGCGACGACGTCGAAAACTGCTCCGGCCGGTTCGGATCCTGGTGCTTGTACAGCTTCACCGAGTTGTTCGTCAGGCTCACCGACACCAGCGCGCGCTTGTCCAGGTAGTTGTGCCCGTACGTGCGGAACGGGATGATGGGCGGCGGCAGCGACAGGTCCGGGATGCCATCCATCTCGAGCTCCAGCTCGTCGTCGCCGATTCCTCCTCCTCCTCCTGCCGCGTTGGTTTTGGATGCCGCGGCCGCCGCAGCAGCAGCCGAGGCTTTGGCAGCCTTGCGACTCGCCGCCGTCTCGCAGGGAGGGTTGTTCTGCGCCGCGGCCGCTTCGAGCAGCAGGAGGAGGCAGGCGATCTTGCCGTTCCACGCGGCGTAGAACGCGGCGGTGCGGTCCTTCTCGTCGAGGATGCCGACGTTGCAGCCGGCTTGCAGCAGCACCTCGAGGCAATCTACGTGGCCGCTCTCGGCGGCAAAGAAGATGGGCGTCCACTGCGTTCCCTTTTCGGGCGCGTTGGGGTCGCCGCCGGACTCGACGAGCAGTCGCAGGCACTCGGCGTGGCCGGCGCGCGCGGCGAGCGCCTGCGGATAGAGGCCCTCTGCGTTGGCGACGATCTTGGCGCCCTTTGCGAGCAGCAGCCGTACAATGTCGGCGTGGCCGCCCGAGCTGGCGAGGCAGAGCGGGATGAGGTCGGTTGCGTCGCGCGGCTCGACGCTGGCGCCGTGGTCGAGGAGGATGCGGACGGCGTCGGTGCGGCCGTTCATGACGGCGAGGATGAGCGGCGAGAAGCCGTCGAGGTCGTAGGTGGCGGCCGAGATGGAGGGGAGCGAGAGGAGGTAGGAGCAGACGTCGGTGTGGCCGGCCATGGCGGCGTACGAGAGGGCGGTGCGGCCGTAGATGTCTTGCTGCGCCACGTCGACGCCGTTGCGGATGCACGACTGGACGAGCTCGAGCTGGCCGGCCATCGAGGCCTCGTGGAGGCACGTGCGCGAGCTGATGTCGTCGACAAACTTGTAGTCGGCGAGGCCGTGCTGGAGTGCTGCGGCGACTGCGTCGGGCGAGGCTTCGACGAGCGCGCGCCAGACGATGCGCGAGACGCTGGTGGCGTCCTCGTTCTGTGCGGCGATGCGGATCATCTCTGTGGCGGG